GTACAATACATATCTAACACAACAAGCTATGCATGTTTTTAAATATAAACTCAATATAAACAACGTCGATATTAAAATAAATATATAACAACAAATTCGTTACAGTTCTAAAACGCGACATTAATTTATTGACAACCTAATATATTCATTATTGTTTTATAGTGCTGATTTAATCGCCTATTAACATTTAATGTAATCAATAGTTTCTGAGCTCTTTATTTATTTATTTATATTATTTTTATATATAATTGTCTGTTTGTTGTTGAGCCTAAAGCTACACAATGGGCTATTTGTGTTCTGCCCATCACGGGTATCGAAACTCGATTTTTAGCATCGTAAGCTAGCTGACTAATCGCTGAGCTCCTGGGGGACTATATCGCGGGAATAACCTAGATAGACACATAAAATAATCAGATGGTTTATATCGATTTCATTACAATGATTTGCTACTCAACATTTTTCACAACTGTAAATATATTTAATGTTGCTGATATGATTATTTGTTTACAGATTATCGCGACAGAAATGAAGCGAAAAAGATGAGCAAGACTATGAGGAGAACACGTAAAACCGGTAATGTTAATTAATAGGACTGGTCAAGGTAGAAAAAAATCGAAACTTTCCAAAAGTGATGCTAAGTATTCGCATCATGTTCTGTACAAGATAGACGAATAGTCAAGTACAGATTTTGTTGGAAACACACTTGTGAGTGTTACCTTGAGAACAGTATGATACACATTAGCATGAAATCGTCTCAATGAGCATGTAGCTGCCGGAAATCCCCTGCTGAAAAGAAGTAACCAAACAAAGAGGTTGAAATGGGTACTGGACCACAAACATTGGAATGAGCAAAGTTAAAGATATGTGCTCTTTACAGATAAGTATAAATTCGAGTTGTTTGACAACAATCGAATACAAATTGTTGGATGGCAGAGAGGAGAACAGTATCATAGTCAACGTACCATATCTAAAATGAATCATGGTGGATAATAATTACAAGTTTGTGGCTGCGCCTCAGTCAACGGTATCTGTGATATACTCAAAATTGATAGCACCCTAGCTGGTGACAAGTGCAAATAGATTTTGATCCATCATGCTATTCCCCGAGGAACATTATTCGTCGAATAGGAATTCATCTTTCAGCAAGACAATGATCCCAAACACACAAATGTAGTGAAATGGTATCTTAATGGGAAAAATGTCCATAACACTCTCACGGTCATTGCTTAATCTTCACAAAATCTTGATATAAACATCCTAAAGGCTGTACGGGTTATGAAAAACTGAAAATCTCGAGAGTCAACCAAAGAACTTGGCTGAATAGTGGAGTAATATCTGGAACAATATTTCCACAATTGTACGTAGATAAACTGTATGGCAGCATCAAAACAACTTGGCTGAATAGTGGAGTAATATCTGGAACAATATTTCTACAATTGTACGTAGATAAAGTGTATAGCAGCATCAAAACAATGTGCAAAGCAAAAGGGTCACATTCAAAATACTAGTGCATTGTACGCCTTGTTCGCTTTTCTTTTGTATTTTTTATAATGATGGTTTGTACCAATAATAATTTCATCGTCTACTTGCCGTTACTCATGGTTTAGGACTCCTGTACGTGTATCGCTCGTGTATTTCTATAATTATTTCCATTTATGTATATACATGTTCAGTAATAAGATGCAAAATCTGAAATTATGAAAACTGTAGAAGGCCATTGTTGGACTAAACACGCTCACCAGCGAATAGTATTCAAATTGATGACGTTGAATGGACTACGTAAATCTCGTATGCTAATTAGATGAATCAGGTTTTACGTAATTATGCCACACAGAAGCTTGAAATGCTGCCATGCTATTCTTTACTTCGAATTTATTTATACAAGAATTTCCTGTTTTCTAATCACGTGATAATAAATGCTCATATAACACTGGATGACGTCAGTCGGATGAGCGAGCTGAGTAGTGGAGCATAATACCTGTCTGCTTTCACACGCAAGTTTCACATTCTTTTATGTCACATTTGCTGCTCCTTTTTTAGCAATTAGTTCAAAAATACAGAAATTGTATCATGACGTTTTACGATTTTTATTTTTTACTGGTCATAGATAAGTACAAGTAAAAACTTTAATTTTGACTCAGGTTTCATTTTATGACTGAACATCATATACATTTATCTATGCCTGCAGTTTCTGCGATGACATAAATAATGCACGCCAATACATCATTTCTAAGAGCATAACTTGTTATTTTATAATTTGTCACCTTCATTGTTTTTATACATACATTTTTAAGCTGATATCGATAAACTGAAATTTGAGAGTCAAATTTCTCAGTGGTTCCCCCCCCCTTTTTTTTTCACAGTCGATCATTAAAGTTCAGCTTTTGGGTAATTTTGCCCCTTTTGTTTCTTCAAGTGCCTGATCTTCGAAGTTGAATATT